ATTGGGGAGCACACGCGAGAGGACACAAGACCCTTCCGAAGGCCACATCGCCATAGGAGAGTTAGAAGGCATGTGTCGCGAAGCACAGGACACAAGTGTACCCTTGAGCTGGCAGGGTCGACCTACTAATCATGGCCGACTGTACCATACTCTTATCGCTGCGCGGATGACCAGAGATCGGGAGCGGCCAAGAGGGGGTGTCCAAGAGAGGGGGGGTGCAAATCATGACCAGCTGCATGTGCACGGCCCAGCGGGGGAGCCAGGGACGTAATAAAATAAGAAGAGACGCCATGACATCTGGGGAAATATCATGGCCCACGCCATGATATCCACCCCCCTCTAGTCATCACCCCCCTCTTTGCCGCCCCCGAGGAGAGGTTAACCCGGACGGCCAGAGCCTAGCTACACATGGGCGGCGACGCTCCCCCGGGGAGCCCCCGCGGGTCTTCGCGAGGGCCCTCGGACGCTGCAAGAAAGGAGGCGGCAGGGGATGAGACGCACAGAGATATACTGGTACTATACGTCCTCCTTGGAGGCGCGTGTCCGAGACGAACACACAGTAGACCCATCTTGTGGTGTATCGTTTCCCGAGCGGTGTGGCCAGAAAGCGCCCGCCACGACGTATATACTATGAGATTTCTCGGTGCGCGCGTTGCCCCTGGGGGGGCGACGCACATATAGTATTAGTGTATGTTGGGGTGACGCCGAAGAGAGCTCCCAGAGAACGGCAGGAGCGCCCAAGAAGGTCAGCGAGGCTCGAGAAGGATGCCCACATGGCCCCGCGAGGGACCAGAGAAGGAGGAGGGGGCGGAGGAGGAGGAGGAGGCAGTGGAGGAGGAGGAGGAGGGGATGGGGATGAGGATGTGGATGCGCATGAACTCTCCGACAATCCTACGCTGTCCAGCTGGATCAACTCTTCTGCCCAAATCGCGAGCAAGAGGCTGACCCCCAAATCGATTCGGCTTCGGGAGCACTGGATGGGAGGAGAGGGTGGATGCAGAGGAGGGGTGATAGCTGGGCTGCGTCAAGAAAGGGCAGTGATGAACACGGGTTCTGCAAAGCGAGTGCCAAAGGAATCGCAAATGAAAGCGCCACCGTGCAAGATCAGAGACAGAATTGTTAAAAAGGTCCCTATATTGAATCATACTCATTCGGACTCGCACGGGAGTCGGAAGAAAGATTGGTGACCGATATGGTATCGCAGAGAAAGAGGGAGAGAGAGAGAGAGAAATAAGATGCGAGCAATTCGTACAGGCATGGTGTAGTCACCGCGAGAAACTGGAGGATACGCGAAGTAGAAGACAAGGCGGCACGCAGGTCCTTGAGGCTCCGCGAGTGAGCTGTACACTCAATGCGGGTCTCCTTCAAGCCTTGCAAGTCCTCCCACTCAAAAAAAAACAAATATGAATGAGGATCATGGCCCGGAGAAGAACAGAGCGCGGATGAGGCCCGCACGAACTGCCCAAACTGCAATCGCGGTGCAACGCGCTGGGGGACCTCTTGCCACCGATACCCTCACAATCGAAACCCCCCCCGCCCTTTGGCGTAGCTGTTTTGATGAGCTGATTGTTCCAGCCTCTCTTTTGCCCCTCCGAACCTCTCCCCGAGGGCGCGCCACTGGATGCCCCCAAGGAGGGGGGGGGGGCTCCGGACCCCCCCCCCGCCCCTTCCGCCCACCCCTTTCCCCGGTCCGTCGTCGGCGGAGCCTCACCCCCCCTCCTTTTCCCGATCCGCCGTCGGCGGACCACACCCCCCTCCTTCCAAAGGCGGGAGCGGCGGGCTTCGACCCCCCCCCCTCCCCCTCTCTGGACTCGAAAGTCGGACCGCCCCACCCCCCTCCCCCCCGTTCGAGGGGGGGGGGGGAGTTCGGAACCCACCCCTTACGCCAGAACCCTAGCTCCAGACACCCACCCCCGAACCCCTGACCCGAACCCTCATTCCTGACCCCAAACCCCCTAAGCCTGTTCCAAACAAGGGGGGGGAGCACCTGCACCCCCCACCACGCAACGCCCACAGTGCAAAGACCACATGGGGGAGGGTGGGGCGATCTCATCCGCGAGGCCTTCGCGAGGCTCACGCGCGTACCCATTCAACGGGGGGAAGCTCGATCCCACATGCATTTGGGGGGGCACCCTGGATCACATGTATATATGTGTACCTATACGACCACCCTTCGGGTGATAAGGAGGTTCGGGGGGGGAGGAACCAACGTCTCACTGGATCGGCCTCACTATCGATCTTACTATCGATCTCACTATCGGTCTCGCTCGATCGACCTCACTCGATCGGTCCCACAATCAATATCACTCGATCTATTTCATTCGATCGATCTCACAATCGAAATGACTACCGATCTCACTATCGATACCACTATCGATCTCACAATATATCTCACATTCGGTCTCACGATCGATATCACTATCGCTATCACAATCGATATCACAATCAACGTCATCATTATCATCATCAGCATCATCATCATCATCGACATCATCGTCACCAACGTCATCAACATCATCATCATCATCATCATCATCACCATCACCATCATCATCATCGTCATCATCATCATCAACATCGGGACAGCATCATCAAAATAATCATAACATCATCATCCTCATCATCAACATCATCATCATCGGGACACCATCATCGTCAACATCATCATGATCATCAACATCATCATCATCGGGACACCATCATCATCATCATCATTGAAAAACTACCATCATCATCACCAGCATCATCTCATCATCATCATCATGAACAACACCGTCAACATCATCATCATCGGGACACCATCATCATCATCAGCAACATCATGATCATCAACATCATCATCATCATCGGTACACCATCATGATCGTTACCATCATCACCATCATCACCACCATCATCGGGACACCATCATCATCAACATCAGCATCAACATCAAAATCAGAATCATCATCACCTCATCATCGTCCTCATCATCAACATCATCATCATCATCACCATCGAACACCATCATTGTCATCGTCATCATCAACATCATCATCGGGACACCATCATCACCATCATCATCAACAGCATCATCATCATCATCATCAACCTCATCATCATCATCGTCATCTTCATCATCATCATCATCATCATCATCATCTCATCATCTCATCACCATCAGAATTTTCATCATCGCCGGGACACAATCATGATCATCAGCAACATCAGCATCATCAGCATCATCACCATCGGGACACCATCATCATCACCACCATGGCCATCATCACCATCACCATCATCACCATCATCGGGACACCATCGTCGTCACCATCATCATCATCAAGATCATCATCATAAGGACACCACCATCATCATCACCATAATCATCATCGGAACACCACCATCATCATCATCGTCTCATCCTCGTCATCATGATCAACATCATCAACATCATCATCATCGGGACACCATCATCATCATCAGCAATATCATCATCATCAACATCATCATCATCGGGACACCATCATCATCATCGTCACCATCATCATCATCATCACCATCATCATCGGGACACCATCATCATCAACATCAGCATCGGGCCACCACCATCAAAATCATCATCATCACCTCATCATCATCCTCATCAACATCATCATCATCATCATCGGGACACCATCATCGTCATCATCATCAACATCATCATCATCATCATCGGGACACCGTCATCATCACCATCATCATCAACAACATCATCATCAACAGCATCAGGATCATCAACATCATGGGGACACCATCACCATCATCATCTTCATCATCAGCATCATCATCTTTATCATCACCATCTCAACATATCATCATCATCATCATCATCATCAACAGCATCATGATCATCAACATCATCGTCATCATCATCGGGACACCATCACTATCATCAGCAACATCAGCATCATCAATTTCATCATCATCGGGACACCATCATCAACACCACCATGGCCATCTTCATCATCATGATCATCATCATCATCATCATGATCGTCATCATCATCAACATCATCATCATCACCATCACCATCACCATCACCATCACCATCACCATCATCATCATCATCATCATCATCATCATCATCATCATCATCATCATCATCATCATCATCATCATCATCATCATCATCATCGGGACACCGACGGGACACTGGCGGGACACCGGCAGGACACCGCGCGGCACCGGTTGCTGGTAGGGAGACTTTTGGTCCGGCCGCGTCTCAGCCAGAGGCGGGACATTTCTCGCCCGCCCACGCAGCTTCGCCTCGCCCGCACGCACGGCACGCACGAACACGAAACCGAAACCGATTTCCCGGTAGGGGGACTCTCCGTTCCGATTCGATCTCACCCCCTCACCTCCAATATACATGTTCACATTCTGGCCCGCGTGTGTCACACCCCCCACACCTCACCACACCCCGCTGGGCTCCCCAGGGGTCCCCGAAAGAGGCGACGGTCATGTGCAATTGGAAGTTGGAAGCGCCCGAGGCGCGAATTTTGTTTGCGTCCGCGCGCGGGGGTGCCAGTAGCTTTACGTATCGCATCGCCGAGGGGGTCGGATCTCCTTTGGGGCGTCTGTTTCGCGCCGCCACGCGGGACACGCCGAGAACCCAGGGGGTGGCAAGCGCACACTATGTCGGCCAACCGCCAGAAAGGCCAGGCCTCACTCATGTGTCCTGCTCGCCCCTCCACTGCCACCCCTTGACGGCGCCTCCTGCGCCGCCCCTGGAACCAACTCAAGAATTCCGCGGGGTCCTCCGGCAGTTCATGTTTGTACCGGTTTGTCTTCTTCAATCTTCGGCGGCCCTTCTCAGCGCCTTCGGTAGCAATTCATAGGAGCCTCCCATACCATCTTGTCGGCTCTTGCGTATTCGACGCGAGTCAACGCTAATCGACGCTAAATCGACGCCAATCGACGCTAGCCGACGCTAAATCGGCACATCTCATCGACTCCCAAACGCTAGTCGACGCTAGCCGACGCGAAAGACGGAATTAAGAGGGTATACCAGGATCCCACGATTTGCTGCCGAACTCCTCCTCCCCCATCCACCTCCCTTGGGCCCCCGACATTGTGATGTGCCAAATTCTCGCCGCGGGTCCGCAAAGCTCCAGACCCCGACCCATGGAAAGGTGGGATCCGTGTCGAATACATGCCGAATCCGCGTCGAATCCACGCCAAATCCGCGTCGAGTTTGCATCGGGCCCGCGTCCGGCCGAAGAAATTACACCAATTTTAGGGACGGGCGAGGCCACCCGAAGATGTAACGTAAAGTTGGGCGGGTGGAACCAACGACGCGGCAAGCACGGGGAAAATCCTCTCAATCCATCTAACAACCTTCCTCGGGCCCGCTATACATCGGCCCGATTCTCTATCGACCTTACTATCCGTACATTTGCTGGCATCATAATGAGGAAGCCGAACGGTGCGTGGCTGAAGTGGGGTTCCGCGGTAAGGATTGTTGTTGCATCGTTGTTGCTTGTTGCTGTTGAATGTTAATTACCCAGCAATGTTATTATTGGACCCCCCAAGGAGCTTTGGCGCTCTCGCCTCGGCGCCGGCTGCATTTTCATTGACAATGAGGCTCTCGCTCGAGCGGTTTGGGGGGGCGCCAAAACGGGCCCCTGAACAACAACAACAACAACAACAACAACAACAACAACAATCATTTTACCCGAACGCGTGGTGTTCTCCCCAGTGCCAGGGTTTTCATACGACACCAGGCAATACCCCCACTTCGTGGGGGGGCATTACAAGCTCTACCAAATATCCAAACGACTCTTCGCGACCACCCAAACCCAGCTTCCCGCCCTATGACGTTGGGACACTTCACTTCGTGGCGTGCGGACGACCGTGGCTACTACACTGGCGTGGGGTACACACCCACAGAACTTGGTCACTTATTCGGGGCGCGCATGTGCCCAGCATGGAAATTTTGACAGCGCGCGCGGGTGGAAATTTTGAAAAGTCGTGCAGCTGTTTTTCGAGGACCTACGGTGCGATTCGTGTGATTTTATGATGCGCGGTGGTAAATTCTTAAGAACCCAATGGTTTTTGGAGATTTCGGCGTGCGCGCGCGAAGAAAAAACGAATGTGTCCCGCATGGTATTATTTGACAGGGATGATGGCCCTGGCAGGTGCGCAACCGTTGTCGCAGAAGTTCGAAAAAGTTGCTCGCAAAAGCCCGTTTGACAGAAATGTTTAAAAAGTGTTGGGTTTCCTACGAATCCGCAAGAGCGCGCGGGATGAGATTTTGACATTTTTTTGTTGAAAAACCATTGGTTTTTTGATGTTTTTATGTTGAAATCGCTCCGAACACTAAGCTTTTGGAAGGATTTCGTCTTGCGCGCGCGAATGTCCACTTTACCTTATTTTTTGCAAAGGATTCTTGAAATTTGATTATATTAGAACAAGAAATGTCATTTTATAGTGTTTTTTGCAAGGGAAAGCGGGGGGGAACAAAACAACCGGATCTTGATCACATCGAATTACCTGAGGCTTCCTCACGAAAATGATGAAAATGTAGCTGCGGCCTAGGCGGCGCAGGGGGGCCGTGCACCAGGGGTCCCAACAATAATTATTCTTTAGAATTAATAATGTTCAACAACAACAACAACACCAACAACAACACCAACAACGCTCCCGCTCGAGACGTCCTCCTTTTTTACTCAGGGCCTGTGCTCTTGCTCGTCGCCGAAAGCCGCCGTTCCAACAAAACCAGCGCTACCGCTCGAGACTTCCTCCCGTTTTTCCTGAAGGCAGTGCTCCTCCTCGCCGCCGAAAACCGCCGTCCCGACAAAACCAGCGTTCCCGCCCGAGACTTCCTCCCGTTTTGCGCTGGACTGGCGCCCTACTCTTTTTCGAATTGGCGCCGCTCCCAGCACGAACAACGCGCCCGCTCGAGGCTTCTCCCGACAAAACCACGGCTCCCGCTCGAGACTTCCCCCCTTCTTGCTCAAGGCGGTGTCCCTCCTCGCCGCCGGCAACCGCCGTCCCAACAAAACCAGCATTCCCGCTAGAGACTTCGTTTTGTTTTACGCTGGACTAGCGCCCTACTCTGTTCAGCATTGGCGTCACTCCCAGCAGCAACAGCAGCCCTGCTCGAGACTTCCTCCCTTTCTATTTCAGGGCCAGGTCCTTGCCTCGCCGCCGACAGCCCCCATCCCCAACAAGGCAATACTGTCGCTCGATACGTCCTTGTGCTTTACCCTTGGCTGGGGCTCCACTGGCGGTCTCGCATCGGCGCAGCAAGGCGCGGGCATGCGTTTTCGAGGCGGGCTATGTTGAATTTCCTCGGGGGAGGTGTCTGCAAGACCTCACTGGGCGGGAGATCTGGGAATGGGAACAACGGACCCCGCTATAGAACCATAATCTCCCATGATGGGGATGGTTCTCATGATGATCGCATGCTTCGTGTGGAAACATCGCGCATGAGGGCAAAACGATTGGTGTTGCTGTCGCGACCTGGCCCGCGACCCACCCGCGACACACCCTCGACCCACGAGCGACCCACCCGCGACACACCCGCGGCCCAGCCGCGACCCAGTCGCGACCCACCCGCGACACACGCGCAACCCATCCACGACCCTCCCGCGATCCACCCCACGACTCGCCCTCGACCGCCCTCGACCAACCTGCGACCCGCCCCGCGCCCGCCCCCTCACCCCTATCCGCAGCTGCGGGGTGCTACACATCGTGGCACCTTTTTCTCTCGATCCCCACTACTGACCTCACGATTTATCGATTGGTCTCAATGTCTATCGATCTCCCTCTCGATCGGTCGATCTCACGATCGATTTATCCTATCCTATCAATTTGTTTATGTGTGTGACGGTGGAACTATCTATCATACTCGCTGTCGATATCTCGATCGCCCTTCTTATCTATCAATTGATCTCACTGTATACATATATATAAATATGTATGTGTGTGTGCTGATCTCACTGTCTACCCATCGGGACAACCTGCGCAATTGTTGTTGCAGTTTGGCCAAGCTCTCGATGCGCCGACGGCACCGAACGCAATTGCACTGCCGAGATCCATTGGGACAACCATCGGAACAACCATCGGGACAAACATCGGGACAACCGACGGGACAGACATCGGGGCAACCATCTGGGCGACCATCTGGACAACCATCGGGAAAGCCATCGGGACAACCAGCCGGACAACTTTCAAGACAACCTCGAGACAACCACGAAACAACCGCGGAACAACCGCTGGCCCCATCTGCCAGAGGAACGACTTCCGCGCTGACTTCGCCCTGTAGCGGCGGCGGGATCACTCCTCTCGCTCGCCCGCGCGCGCAGCTTCGCCTCGCACGCACGCGCGCACGGCACGAACACGAAGCCGAGACCGAATTCCTGGTGGGGGGTCTACGTTTCATGTTGATCTAACCCTCGATTCTCAGATCCATTCGCCAACGGTCGTTGCTATTTGCGCGCCAAGCTCCGAGAGCGGACGTCGTGAGAATCTTTTGCGGCGCCTGTCCTTGTCTACGACCCTGTCTCATTGTGTGTGTGCTGTCGGTTCAGCGCCATGGCCCCTGAGAGTCATCATGTGAACCGCGAAGGGCCAGCATTACAAAGCTGGATCAATGAAGCGGCACGGTGTCCACATCTTCTCTCGTAAGCGACGACGGGGGCGAACAGCCCAGGGGGGAGCAGTACATGCATCCAGAGGCGCCGATGGTCTATCTCTTCGGCGAGGCCACCTGGCAGATACGTGCGATGCCCGCCCCTGGGCGCTTCGCCCCCCTCGTCGCCCCCGAAGCCCCACCCTTTGGACGCCCGAAATGGGTACGGAAAGAATGGGCATAATGCCCAACAGCAAATGTTGTCCCGAATCAACAGCGGCCGCTGTTTGGCAGGCGGCCTCCTGTCTCAAATGGACACAATCCGCGGCGACGCCGACGGCGAATCCGGCCCAAAATGAACAAGAACTGCCGTCGGTCTTTGTACCCATTCCTTCCGTACCCATGTCGGTCATCCCGACACCCCTGCCATCCTCCTGGAAGTGCTCCAGGTCCCTGCGCAGCTTGCCAGTCTCCTGGGCGGAAGCCGAGGACGACGGCAGCGGGGGCGCGGAGCATGCGGCGAGAGCGGCCACCGAGCGAACAGCGCAGGCTCGTCCTTCCCCTACATATCTCGGCCTCCGCCTTCGGGCATCTTCCGCGAGGCTGAAGACACGTCGCTCTGTGGAGCGCGAGAGGGGGGACGAGGAAGAGCAAGAATATGAGGGTGAGGATGGGGATGATGATGATGATGATGCTGATGCTGATGATGATGATGATGATGATGATGATGATGATGAGGGGGAGGAGGAGGAAGATAATGTTGATGAGGATGCTGCTGATGATGATGCTGCTGCTGCTGATGATGATGATGATGACGGTGATGATGATGCTGATGATGATGATATGGCAATGATGGTGATGATGAGGATGATGATGCTGCTGATGATGAAGTTGATGCTGATGATGAGGAGGATAATGATGATGATGATGATGCTGATGCTGATGATGATGATGATGATGATGATGATGATGATGATGATGATGATGGTGACGAGGAGGAGGAGGAGGAGGAGCAGGAGGAGGAGAAAGAAGACGAACACCTAGGAAGCGTCACGGAGACTGCAATACACCCTTTGGTCAGATGCCCCCTCCGCATGAACTGCGGGTCAGACTCTATTTGAAGGCGTCTCAAGCGAGAGCACGACTTTGACAACCAGCCGGCCGCAATTCCTGCAAATCTCGGAAACTTGTCCAACCAAAATGCACGGCGCGGAAGCGAGAGCAGCATTTTGAGAATCACCAGCTGTCCATCCTGCAGCTGTTGGAGCTGTTACACCGGATGTGCGTGGCGCGAAGATGAGAGCCGCATTTTGAGAACGACAGCCCCCTCCATCCTTTGTAGTGAAGACACCTGGAGCCAGTGGCATGCCCCCCCCTCCCACCAAAGACGGAGAATGGCGGGAGGAGGCGGATGAGAAGGAGGAAGAGCCCGTCAGCAGCTCACAGGCCAAGCTAAGGATGAAGTGGTGGAACATGAGGCCAGGGGCAGGACGGTCGAAGGCGGGGGAGAAGAGGGAACAGGGGGACGGGCGGGGGGTACAAGCAGGGAGGGAGGGAGAGGGGGGATCCACCAACCTCGACTTCGCGGCAGCAGACGGGGGTAGCTGCCGAAGAAACACGCGAGCGGATGAGCGAGGAGGAGAGAAAGGGGAAGGAGGGAGGAGGGAGGAGGGAGGACGGGAAGGCTGGGAAGGCGGAGGCATGCAAAGGAGGAGTGAGGCAGGCGATGGGCCAAGTCTCCACCCTCACAGGTAGAGCCACTGCTGCACCCAAGCAGGGCGCGTTGAGGCCTTCGAGGTGTAGAAGGCCATGCGACTCCCACCCGTGCCCACGCGCCGAGGAGGTCCTCCTCCTCCTCCTCCTCCTCCTCCTCCTCCTCCTCCTTCTCCTCCTCCTCTCTGCGCGATCCCCCCGGGGCTGTTTCCTTGGTGCCCTGCGGCCCGAACCGCGCTTCCACAGGGCCCAAATCGCGGACGGAACAAAATGCCGCGGCGTTGCGCCGAGGGTCTGGGCAGTACAGTCGAGGCGTTGACCTAAGGAACGATAAATAAGGAACGAGGCCTCTTTTTATCCCAAGGAGTAACGCGTAAGACACGATACATAACAAATAAAGCATAAGGAACTGTAAATAACGCATGTAAGATCTAATGAACGACCGAGCCCCTTTTGAAAAGTAAGTGTTCCTTACTCAAGCCGCTCACTGTAGCTGCGGTGGAGCGTCGGGCCATGACACGGCGAAGGGGGGGAGGGGGCGGAGGGAGCGCGAGGGGGGGGAGGTCGGGCATGCTCTCCTGCAGGCGGGTTCTGCAGAACATCTGCTTCTAACATTCAAAAGGGAACAACAACAATAATAACAATAATCAAAAAGGGAACAACAACAATAAGAATAATCAAACATAGTCTAAAGAGCACGAAACATCATCACCAGACAATGTTTTTAATATTCGTGAATACGCCTCCTGTAGAGGGACAGGCCCGACGTACGACTGGGGGAGGGAGGAGGCAGCCCGCCCCCTTCCTCCCCCCCCCCCTCCCGCCGTTCCCGCGTTCCCTCCTCCTTCGGGGGCGCGCAGACATGGATGAGCGATCCCAGGATTTGGCGCGCGGAGGTGCCCTCCCCAAAATGCGGCCGGTGCCGCCTCGCTCGGCGGCGGAAATCCGCGATTTCCCATGGAAACAGGGCCCGTCGCTAATCCAAGCCCCCTTGATCCACTTTTGCGATCGCCTGACCCTCCCCGCCCCCCTCCTCCCGTTCCCGCGTTCCCTCCTCCTCCCCTGCTTCCCCGCCCCCCTGTGCTGAGCACGCGTCGGCTGCCGCGCCGCGGCACCTCCCTCCTCCCCTCCCCTGCACCCCCCCGCTCGTCCCGCTCCTGCTGCTCGCCGTCGCTTGGACGTCCCTTCCCCGAGCATTTTGCTCGGCTTCGTGCGTGTATTTTTTGGCCGCAGCAGGGCTCCAAAGGCTCCTCGATGGTCCTCGCCGAGGGGTCAGGCTGGGTCGATTATGTCAAAATCGACCGCCCAAAAATCTCCAACAGATCTCCCCGCGACTTTTCTGGAATCTCCAAACTCCAAAAAATCTCCCCGCGAATCTCCAAAGCATCCTTGCGCCTAAAAATCTCCAGAAGTCGGCCCGAGGGAATATGTTTACGTCCGAGCGATGCCGAGGCTGCGAAAACCGAACTGTGTGCAACACAGCCCGCAGCGGTACCCGTGGCTGCTGCTGTGATGTCGAGCCGCACTGGGGGGCGAGCCCACCCACGAAGGGATCGTACCGCATAATGGGGATCGTTGCGTCGAATGATGCCGTTTCCTGATGGGTAGAGGTGTCCGGATGGTTTTCGCGAGTTTGGGCCTCTTGGGGGGCCCTCCATGGGGCCCCCAGGATCGTCAGCGATGGACTCGAGAAGAAGCGAGGGAATGGTCCCAGGGGGAAAGCCCCAGGGTCCAGCCCCCGTTCCGCTCCGGACCCGCCTCGCTCCTGCCAGCGTCCCCCTTCTGCGCGCCTGGGGCCTGGAGGAGGAGGAGGAGGAGGAGGAGGAGGAGGAGGAGGAGGAGGAGGAGGAGAAAAACACAGGAGGAGGAGGGAGGAGGGAGGAGGGATGAGGGATGAGGGAGGAGGGAGGAGGGAGGAGGGAGGAGAAGGAGGAGGAGGGAGGAGGAGGAGGAGGGAGGAGGGAGGAGGAGGAGGAGGAGGAGGCCGCGGGCGGCACTTCGCAGGCGCACCCGGGGCCAGGCTCTGGGCCATGTGCGCTCGCGCGGGCGGCGCCCTCCCCTCGCCGCGCCCGTCCCCGCGGCTCTCGGGCCGCGGGCCTCCTCCCGTCCCGTGGGGCGGCCGAGGCGAAGAGAAGCGGAGCCCGTGCCGACGGGGCGCTCCCCTGGCGGCCCCCTCTCTGGGGGGAGCGCCCCGGTGCTGCGCGCATGTCGGGCATGTCCTCCTGCTGGCGTGTCTTTTTTGGGGGGGGTGGGGGGGGGGGAAGAGGAGAAGACATAGTTAAACAACGCTCAGACATAATCCAAACATCAGTTAAAACAAACATCGCCCGGATATGCTGTGCTGGAAAGCGTCGCCTCAAACATCCCTCCTGTAGAGGACATGCCCGACCTAATGCTGTACCTGCTACGTCGGGATGACCCCAGGGCTCTGAGGCGAAAGTGGTCGGGGGTGCCCAAGCCGGCGCTGCGTCTGACCCGCTCGGGGCACCCTCGCCAAATGCTCTGAAGCCAAAGGAGTCCCGGTCACGGAACGAGCGCCTCGCTCGAAACATCCCCACGACCTGCCCTGAAAGCAAAGGGGCCCCAGCCACGAAACCAGCAAACCACCTGAGCGATCCCCCTATTCAGGCCGCGAGCGGGCACATGTAACACCCCCGGGCGGCTTCCCCCTTGGGGTGCGTGAGTGCCACGCCTGCTACGTCGCGGTGCTTATGGGCTTCCGAATACATACCTATGTATATATATATAATCGAGAGAGAGAGAACAACAAACAAAAAACAAAACACAAGGAGAGAGAGAGAGAGAGAGAAAGAGAGAGAGAGAGAGAGAGAAAACGAGAGCGAGAGAGAGAGAGAGAGAGAGTTGGAGGAGGGGAAAACAACAGAGATACAGAGAGAGAGAGAGAGGAGCCTGCGGGGCCAAACGAGCAAACCGCCTGAGTCATCCGTACAATCTGGGCGCGAACGGGCGAGTGTCACAAGCCCTCTGGCAGCCCCCTCTGTGGGGTGCCCAAGCGCCACGCCTGCCATGTCGCGGTGATCATGAGCCCCTCAGAAGATATCGAAAGAGAAGAGTCAGGGAGGCCAAAAGAAGCAAACAGTCTGAGACATCCCCACGGGCGCGAACGAGCGAGTGTGATAGCTTCTGGTGTTTCTCCCTTCGGATGCTCGAGTGGCACGCTTGCCACGTCGCGGGCAAAGTCTGTGGGCCTAACGAGCCAAGCGCCTGAAACATCCCCACAATCTGGGCGCGAACGGGCGAACGTCATGTCTGAAGAGGCCCTCGGACACACAAATAAATACACACAAATAACAGGATTCCCCATATGTCCCATATTGTCGGGGTTTTTATCCTCCCGCCAAAATCCCATATTTTCCCTTATTTTCTTGGGAATCGACGATTAATTGTGTCGGTGTGTTTCTTCCCCTCCTGAATATCGCATGTCGGCCCCCTCTGGGGTGCCCAGGTGCCACGCCTGCTGGGCTGCGGCAGTCATACTGTGAATGCGAGTGGTCCTACTGTGGGTGGTCTGTGTGTATGAGTATGTGGCTGACGGCACCACCATCACAGCATTTTACTTTTTCGGTACTTCGCCTCCAGGTTCCTGTACAAGGCGTTCCTTTGCATGCACTTCGCCTTCGGCACCGCCTGATTCCGGGGCTTTGCCCTCTCTTGGCCTTGACGTGAGGTCCCTCCTTCTGCCTTCCCCCCTCTGTCAATTAAAGCTGTGCGCGGCCCGCTTAACTTCGACCGGAAGAGGCTTGCTCTCGACCCGCGGATCAAAAAAAGAGTATGAGTATGTGTATGACTTGGATGGGTATGAATGAACCTCAATGGACATGGGCTGTGCGCTACTGCATCTCAAACCGAACCATTTCCAGCATCAGTGGACCTGGGTGCAGGAGCATCTAGATAGAATCTACGTGTCGGTGGATCTCAACACGAGTGAGTCCGAGAATGAATGGGGAAAGGAAGCGGAGGCGTCCCAATGATAAAAGAACTCCACACTTAGGATATGGGGAACACCTAGAAACTTTCGGAGGTCCGAGCGAATTTTTCTGATCGGCACTGGGCCCCACCCCCCCCGTGGCGGGAAGAGCGCGCTATGGGCGGCGCTGGAGGCGCCGCCGGGGGGGCCCAGCGCGGATCCAAGAACTCCGCGCGGACCTCCGACACCACATCTTTTCGCATACGCCTGCACGCAGAGACGAGAAGGGGAGAGGAGAGGAGGCCGGCGCAGGAAGAGGGACGATGGGGGGCCCCACCGCCTTGATCTTCCTCGCCCTTCGCATCGTCGCCCTCCTCGCCGCCCTCGCCCTCGTCGTCGTCGTCGCCGCCACCGCCCGCTGGAGCACGGGGTGGAGCCGAGGCGCCTCCTCGAGCCGCTGCGCGCCGTGCGCCAGCTCGGCGTCCTGCTTCCTCTGCGCGGCGCCCTCGGGGCACCGGGGCCCCTTTTCCAGCGGGCCGCTCCTGCTGCTGCGTCGCCTCGTCAGCCTCGCCTTCCTTGTCCACTTCCCCCTGCGCTGCTCCCCCTGCCCCTCTTCCTCTGTTGCCTCCTCCTTCTCATGCTCCTCCCTCTTTCTCTCCCCCTCCCCCCCCCTCGCAAATTCGTTCGGACCCTCCGACTCCTCCGTTTCTCCCTCCTCCGTCTCAGCCTCCCCCTCCTCCTCCTCCTCCTCCTCCTCCTCCT